CCTTTTAATAATTGACATCCTTGGAAAACCTGTAACTAAAACATTTCTGTAATTTCTAAATGAGGTATAAATGTTCCATTTGCTCTGATTTTAAAAGTGTTTATTTTAAGGTTAAGATCAAATAAAAACGTAGTGCAGCTCAATACGTCATGAAAACATAATTGTAAAACTGGTCAAACATGTCTGAACATGTTTTGGATGTAAAAGAAAACACATGTAAAATTGCAACATACCCTGACACACGTCCCAGTCAAGGTATGGTGCCCGCTCACTTTGAATCAATGTCTAGAATAAATGAATGAAAACAGAACATTGTTTACTTTTGTGCTGTAATTCCCTGCTACTCTCCTCATTTTAAGTGTCGTGCCACCATGTGTCCTCATGTCACACTTTCAGCCACCCAGCTATTCAACTCTACTCCTTTTCTTCTCCTCTTTTCTCATCCTCTCTCGTTACTGCTCCTCTTGTTTCCTCTTACCTCCTCATATTCATTCTCCACTCCTGCCACTTCCTGTCCTTGTTTACTTTCCACACTTCAGCATGTTTTCCCCGTATCTCCTCACACACGATCACATCTCTTCCCTGAGTCCTATTTTCTCTCCTTGATAACATCATTTGGCTCTTGTTTTTGTTTTTTTTTGCCAATCTAAACTACTTCACCTGTGGTGAGGCCTGTGTGGAGTCAACCTGCACTCACTGTGTCCACTCTTTAAACACATTAAGTGTGTGTGTGTGTGTGTTTGCGCACGTGTGTGTGATCCATTTAATTGCTGCTATTGCAAATAAAATACTTCCTATGACATCACACAGTGACGTCCCTTGACATTCAACTGTGTCATTGTGCTGTTGCACAGTTGGCCGGAGTTTTCAAGAGATTTTTCCTCAGCTCCTTCGCTGAAAAAGTGGCTTCTTTACAAGAGAAAAGTCGGATTCTCTCTCTCTTTCTCTCTCTCTGTCTCACACACACACGCACCACACACACACTGGTCATGTTCCCAAGGTCCCTTTCTCAGAGAAGTCTGACTGGAAGCCTTTGTCTGAGCTCACTTTAAAAATAAAACTGGAGCAGGGTTACCACATGCACACACACACACAGACGCACGCACACACACACACACACACCCTCACTTGCTGTGCATGAACTACGCCTGACCTGAGGTGGAAAAGAAGCCCACTGCCAACTCATGATGCTGTAGTGCAGCGTGTGTGTGTGTGTGTGTGTGCGTCTGCACTCCCATACTGTACTAATGTGTGTATTATTTCACTCAGCTTTTGACTGACACTCTAATTATGGGTTTGTGTAATACCTATATGTACATGAGTTTGTACTCTACGCACACACACACACATACACATATGTTCAGTAAGTCACACGTTATCGTTACGTTTGTACTCTACACACACACACATGTTCAGTAAGTCACACGTTATCGTTACCTGACTTTTAACTGTCACACAAAGACACACGATCCTCCACAACATACTGAAAATAAAATGTTTTTTTGACAATTATATGTTAGAGTGGCATAAACAAATCTGATCTATTTTTTTTAAATATTAATTACAAATAAAAAAATCACATATTCTTTTCCAGCCAACATGTCTTTACTGGTGTTTACGTAGAAAACGTGGCTAAGTGTGATTCAACAAAAAAAACTTCCATGGAAAACCACTTTTATAGGTTGATATTTCAAGCAGGATTCAAAGAGTTTTATATTCATTCCAGTGCAGTTGGTGACTTTAACTACTAATAACGTTAATAAAATGGTGCACTAGAGAACAAAAATTAGAACAAAATAAAATAAACTATTAATAAACTAGGCTAATATTATGGAAACAAGCTGAACTAATACTGACTACAGTAAAAATGTGGCTCTTTTAGCGTCCTAATGTTGCAGGTCCGTCCACCGTACAGTAGTTCATCAAATGATCAGCACACAGCCCTCGCAAGTTTAACTTCTCTATTAGTTTCTCCTCTAAAAAAACACCTCAGTTACAAATGAATCTCCCTGAAGTTTTTTCTTAAAGTGCTCGTTGCCGACCAGCACTGATGATACTCAGTAAGAGCTCTCACAGAGGCTTTGCCACAACCAGGCCCCAACGTTCCACATCAGCGCTAATAGCGATGGGAAATGGGAAGTAACCAAAGAGTCAATTAGTAAATGGATAATTAAATTGGGAATCCTCCTTTAAAATACATCCAGTTGGCATTTTAAAGGCAGTTTTCGGCACTTTGTTCTTGTGTTGTTTACTAGAACATCCTCTTTTTTTTTTGTCTTCACAGATGCAATATACAGTATATGATCCCCCCT